CATGCAGAAAACTAGCATTCTTTATATGTATTCCAGAAAGCAACTCTAACACATTTTCCAAGCATCTTCTCTATATACCATAAGTGAGAAACACTGCAAAATATACATAAAATCATCTTCAAGATACCTCAGCATAGTATGGATTACTCATTTGTAAGGATGGACAGCAAATTATGAATCTCAAAAAAAGGAAAAAGGCCAAGAATGCTGGAATTAGAACCGTTCCTTTTCCATACTGTCCCAGCTAGAAAAAATATGTTCTGGTGAAGGATATAAAAAATAGTAGCCAACAACCCCTTTCTGATTGACAGTAAAGGTGTCTTTCACTGTCCATTTCTCCAGTTAATTCCAAGGTGCTCTTTTATTTGGATGGGTATATGTCCATTTCCAGCGATGGTGGTAGATATGTCAGATAATTAATATGAGCAAAGAATGGTAAAAGAATATGTCTAGCACCTCTGCTCATTCTAGAAGACAACCATGGGTGAAAAGCTGGAGTAGACACAGACATTACTACAGGCAGAGCACATACACAATAGGAGAAAGCAAATTATGGACATAATTTGCTGTCCATAGGTTCATTTTTTCTTTGTAATGAATCAGATTGGGACTGTTTGTGGAATTTATTAAGAAGAGACACAGACAAGCTCTATCCCCCACCTTAACGGATGGTGTAAAAAAAAAAAGACGAATGTTTCTCAGATAAAAATAGTCATCAGCATTTGTGACTTGGATCTTCCAGCCAACACCTCAGCTGCTTTATATTTCTGAAACCTTCAACCCAATCTGCTGAGTGCGGTAATACTTTACTGTAAACTCCCCCTCCGCCAGTTAAAAGCCAAGAGGTTAATGGTTCTTTTGGCAATGACTCATTGGAAAAACATGATATCCAACTGCATACGATGATTGCTACTTCTCTGTTTACATATAGTTATACGTATGTGAATAGATGCATCCACCTTCAAGGATCTCACTTTTAAAAATTGAAGAAACTGATACATTTAATCCCGTCCCCGGATCAAAACTTTCCTCCTTTGGGTACATGGACTGTGCTAATATAACAATATTAGGATCCCATATTAACACAGTTTAGCAAGCAATCCTCAAAGGACAAAATAGTGTGAGTGATTTACCAGAAAATGGGACATCTGAATATAGTGGGAATAATGGAAAATTATAAAAGCTATTTCTATACTTAGAACCATTTTAATGTTAAATCTGTATCACTTTAGAGAAATCACTGCTCTTGAAATGAGTGTCTGCATCAGAGATCAGTTCATCCACAGGAAAAGAAACACAAATAAAACAAGCCATATTTTCTGTAAAGGAATTTGTCTCTGATACATAGACTCACTTCAGCAGCCGCCACCTCTTTGAAAACCCATAGATTTTGCACTGAAATCAAATTTGTTCTAATTATAGACATTGCGATTATGATTTTTCATGATTCTCACTTCCTTCCGATGTTTCATTTTGTCTTATGAGTTGACAGTATGGAAATTACATGTTTGCTGTCATCACTGTGGCTGCTCTCAAAAGTGAATAGAGAACCTACTTACAAAGAAGCACTCACTCAGCCTCTATGACTTGGCAACATGAGACAGCCAAAATGTGGGCAGGATTGCTACTGTTGAAAACCAGTGATGGGTGATAATAATTTAGTTCAGGGGCAGAAACACTTGGCTTGCTGGTTTTTGAATGGTTTTCCATTAACATTGTCCATGCTGGTTGGAGCAGAGAGGAGTTGTGGGCCGATACATTTGGAGGCCCCAGGATTTACAATCCACATCTTCTAGAGTCATGGTATGACAAAGTTCACCGCCTCATGATTTACATGGAAAGAAGAGGCAGAGTGGAAACAAAACTGAATTAATCTCAATAGTTGACAATGGCATATTAAAGTGGAAGGTGAGACTAGTGAGACTGGAAGGGCATGTTTATGTCACTCACTTTTAAAAGTAAAATATTGTTTTATATATTAGATATAATAGTCATAAGGCAAGGAACTGATGAAATTGGGTGAGAGAATGGAACATTGAAAGTGAGTGGGGAAGAAGAAGAAGAAGAAGAAGAAGAAGAGGAGGAGGAGGAGGAGGAGGAGGAGGAGGAGAAAACTGGCGAAAGAAGGCTCTCCATGGACAGTTCCTGGGAAAAACTGAGAGCCAAATTGACAAAGAAAAAACATGGCTGTGGCTCACAAAAGGAACTTTGAAAAAGGAGACGGAGGGCCTGATTATGGCAGCCCAAGAACAAGCCATTAGACCCAATGCCATCAAAGAATTGAAAAGTTGATGACAGAACCCAAATGTAGACTCTGCAAGGAAGCAGATGAAACAATAGATCACATCCTCAGCTGCTGCAAGAAGATTGTGCAGACAGACTACAAGCAGAGGCATAACACCATTGCTCAGGTGATTAATTGGAACCTGTGCCACAAATGCCCTCTGCCTGCAACAAAGAACTGGTGGAATCACAAGCTTACAGAAGTTACAGAAAATGAACACGTCAAGCTACTCTGGGACTTCTGGATTCAGACAGACAGAGTTTTGGAGCACAGTACTCCTGACCTCACGATCGTGTTAAAAAACAAAGTATGGATTGTGGATGTTACAATCCCAGGTGACAGCAGAATTGAAGAGAAACAACTGGAAAAGCTGGCACAATATGAGGATTTAAAGATCAAACTGCAAAGACTCTGGCGCAAGCCAGTCAAGGTGGTCCCAGTGGCGATCGGCACACTGGGTACAATGCCTAAAGATCTTGGCCTGCACTTAAACGCAATCGGCGCTGACAAGATTACCATCTGCCAGCTGCAAAAAGCCACCTTACTGGGATCTGCACGCATTATTCGCTGATACATCACACAGTCCTAGACACTTGGGAAGTGTCCGACGTGTGATCCAATACAACAGCAGGCAGAATGTCTGCTGTGGACTCATCTTGTGGTGTTTCTGATAATAATAATAATAATAATAATAATAATAATAATAATAATAATAGCTTTATTTGTATCTCGCTACCATCTCCCCAAAGGGACTCAGCCCGGCTCACAGAAAGCACTCAATTGTGCAACAATATAGAAATACCGGATTAAATGGCAGTGGAGATCCAACCTAAAAAACCCAACAGTACACATTGTATTCAAAGTTGACGCATCCTGACTATTTTAGAAAGAGCTGTTGATCTGCAATTTTTTTAATGTCTGCACCCATTGAAACCCTAGGAGAGTAAAATATTTTTTGTCTTTTTTTGTCTCAAGGTTTTGTAATCATTTTGTTTCCTGGGATTTTTCTCCCAGGTGCCGTGTGCAGCTTCACTTTGTTTTTTCTCTCTGCTTTGATCATCTTCGGTTTCTTCCTTGAATTAATATGTCATCTTTTCATCTCATGTTTATAGTTCTCACTGTATTGTTTCCATCACCTTTTTATTTCACCTTGATCGTGTAATATGTTCTCCTGTTTGTGCTATGTCATTCCCACTCATAATTTAAATCTCCCTTTGACTTCTCAAATTTTGTAGAAGAGATCTCTTGTTCTTTCTTTTTTGTTGCCTTCTTCTATTTCACTGCATTGGTTATTAGAATAATTCTTTTTGCCCCTGTACACAAGTTACTGAACAGCTGCATCCTGGGTTCTGACCCCATTTCTGTCTTCTTTTACTTTTGCTTTTCTTCTGTCCTTAGCTGTTCGAAGAGCTTCTATATCCCTGACAAAAAAGCATCACCTGCAACTGAATCTCTTGAAAATAATTTTTAAAACCACAACATCCACCTCCATAAAAAAAGTTTTTCTTGCCAAATGTACTTTCTTGCCAAATGTTACTGCAAAGTCTGATCCCATAGGTTGACATTACTTCTAATATTTTGCATAATTGTGTTTCTTTACAGACTCACCTTGTGTACTTTCAGTAGCTGGGGCTCAGACTTCAATTGATATTTTATATTTATAAATGTCAATATATGGCTTTCTCTGTCTGTTTGTAACACAAAGGCTGCTGCTAGGTAAAGTGGTGCTCTCTGATGTCATTGGGAAGGGAAAGCAAAGGAAGAAAAAGAAAGAAAAGAGAAAGGGAGAATGTGTATGAGCCTGCCCACTGTTGCCAGAGTGTTGCCATTGAGACATTCTCTCAGAGCTGGAGAAGGGAGAAAGTAGGTGAGCAGTGGTCCCAATGACGCCCAGGCAATGCCGTGTATATGTGATAATTCAGTAAACCATATAATAAAGATCCCTTATTTTCAGCAATTTAGTTTATGCAGAACTCGATGATGAATCCTTGAATCACGATGGATTGGAATTCCACCTATTCTGGGATTTTTTTTTTTAAAAGGACTGTGTCTAGTTCTTAAGGACAACAATTTTAAAGAGTGCACTGAGATTCAAGAGATATAGGCTCTACATCAGTGGTTCTTAACCTGTGGGCCACGGACCACCAGTGGGCTGTGAGGATAAAAATCTGGTCTGCAAGCCTCCTTCCTCTTTATTTACTTATTTTATTTTATTTTATTTCCATTCGTTTTGCATCGCTTGTCACTCCTTCCCGGTCGCAGACCAGCCCCGCCCCCTTGAATAGACCACATCAGCTCTAGATTATTAAATATGGTTTTCTGTGAGTGAGCTGATGGCGAGTACTGGATGGAATATGTTCTGTATCAGAAACTAGAGCTGATGTGGTTTATCCAATGCAATTTTCTGAATCAGCACCCAAATAACCAAAACGAATTTAAAGACCAAAAACTGGTTTGTAACCCTTTTGGTACTAATGTTGGAGAGTGGTCCCTAGTCAAAGTGGTCCCTGCTCAAAAAAAAAGGTTGGGAACCACTGCTCTGCACCAATGTCTGGGACATACAATGGCTTTCCTTGATCATGTGTTTGCTGTTCACCTCCAAACTCTCATAGATGAAACCAATACCCATGGTCCATTTCAATCCCATGAATTTACCAGACTTACAGAGCACATATAAATACTGTTTTTTAAAAAATAAAAACAAAACACACACAAATGCTTGAGAAAATGGTAACTCTTATTAGCTTTTACATAAATGTTATTGATAAACATAATTCCCGAAAACATGGCTACCAGCATGAATTGGCTGTTGTTTTATTAGCTAGAAAATCAATATGAAGAACAACGAATAGTGAAAACATTCAATTGTTAATTGTTACTCTTCCTGACAATCAAGGATAGTTTCCCCTTTGCTCTGTTTTTCTCTTAACTGAATGTCCAGATTTCTCAATTGTTTCAAAAATCCATGGTTGGGGAAAATCCACCTATGTTTTTTCACAGTTTGAATTGCTTCAGCCAAAGACAAATGATGGTATATCATCAGATACGCCAGCACCAAAGAAGATGACCTGCTTATCCCAATGGCACAGTGCACAAAGATTTTAGCTGCAAATGAAAGGAAAAGATCAGGAACATTTTGTATAAATTTAAACAGGACATTTCAAACTACAGAAGTTAAAAAATCATTGTGAGAAATTATATATTTGTACTAATTCTAAATAACATTTATCCTCAATAATATCCAAGCTGGATCCCCTACACTATGACATCACTCGTGAGTCGAAGTGATTTCCTACCTCCTGGTGTAGCCAAAGCCTTGTGTATAAATTCTGCAGCTGGATAAAAGTATGGACTTATATCAAAATCAGGCAGGTCATGAGCGGGAACACCGTGGTATTCAATAGTAGTGCCGTAAAAGTCATGGGGCTCTTGGCAATATAGTGTTCCATGGGCAGCATTCAAGACATGGCTAATCCCCATTTTCCATAAACCAAATCTGCTGTGGCCTGTAATGCTGTAGAAAAGACAAATAGCAAGATAAGATAGTTGTCCAGGTAGGAAAATTATTCTCTTTGGCCATTGGTTTTTCTTTCTTTCTTTTTTTTAATTGAGCTCTTTACATTTGACAACACATTTCATATTAGGGAAAGGCAAATGTTATTTTATGAATGAAAACATGAAATCCCTTTAGAAACATTTTTAAAACCTTATTTTTTTATTATGTTTGGAAATATTGAAAAGGAGGTCAGTGATAGTGAGGATGAAATGGTCTTGCTAGGTTGTGAGCCAACTGAAAGCCTGATGATGGTTGACCGACAGTGGAGTTTAGACAGAATATTAAAATATTATTAGAAATTATTTACAGATTAGAATCACAATCTACAGGATGTTGGAGAGTTTCCAAGAATTGCTCCAAAGATAGTCAGATTCTCACCTTGAATAATGTAGTAAGCCTTCTGAGTATACTCAAGATCATGACTTATAGGAGCAAAGTAATGGTGTGAAATTATGATTACACAGCATGAGATTTTGGTTTTTCTTAAATGGAATTTCCTAAGTGAGTGTGGAAATTAGAGTTTTTGGTAGATTGATAGAGCCTAGGGGGTGGAGCTGTCTACCAGTCGCATATATGGTCCCGATAACACACAACTTAGATGAAGTTGAAAGGAATAAAAAATAGCAGTTTTAAATGTCTGCATATCTTCTTCTTATATATAGCAAAATAAGTGTTTAAAGTTGGATTTGACAGGTTTAGAGGGTTGTGAGACTAGGGTTCACAGCACCTCTGGCCTAATTTAGCTTTGTGGAACACTTGTACTATTTTAGCTGTCGATGAACTGCATCTATTCAGGTATCTTGTATGAGATGCCTGTTTCCATCACAGTGGCTAATCTGGGTCTCAGCTGTACTATTTCCAAACGTATGATTTTATATGACTGAATGTTTCTCCATACAAACACACACATACACAGCCTATGTATAACACTGGGTGTCATTGAGAAGGTTGGTTAAACCAACACCCATCTCCCTGGAGCTGTTTATATACAGAGGTAATTGTTTTCAGTGGAGAGGTTTCATTCATGTTAGCTTACCTGTGCAGATCAAAGCGGTTACAATATGAAAATAATTTAATTGCGCTTTGTTTTCATTATAGCTCCCAAAGGCCTGCTTCCCAACAGCAGGCAACTAACTTGACAGGAACGTGCAGAGTCATGACAGAAGGCTAAGCTTCTAAATCAGGGGTAGGGAACCTTTGGCCCTCCAGCTGTGGTGGACTTCAACTCCCACAATTCCTTGAGGCTCGGCATTCACCCCAAAGGCTTACCTTGGCCCAATGCCGAGCCTCAAGGAATTGTGGGAGTTGAAGTCCACCACAGCTGGAGGGCCAAAGGTTCCCTACCCCTGTTCTAAATGACTGAAACACTGCATCTATAAAATAATCAGGTGCATAAATATCTGATTATGAATATGCTGTTTTAAATGGCAGCATATTCAACAGGTATAACCAATCTGGCAACCAGTCAAGTCACAGAATTAAGGACTCTTTATAAATAGTATTTAATTGGGGAAGCAATTGTCAAGATATGGTTGTTAAGCTGTCTCACCAACATTTACTTACTGATCTCCTAAGAAAAGATTAGGCCAAACTTCATCAACATGGTTACAGGAGGGACTCCCAGTATTCAGAAACTCTTCTAAGTCTTCAAGTGTGGGGATCTCGGGTATAGATGTACCAGAGCATTCAAGGTCTTTGGCGAGTGATATCTTCTCTTCCGCCATCATCATCAAAACAGTAACCCTCACCCCTGAAACCTGAGAATGTGAGCCACTTTGGCTTGTTTCTGCATCAGCCTTTCCAGTTGTCATTTTGAATCCAACAGTGATGACAGGTGCTGGGCATTTGCAAAGCTAGTGATCTGGTTCAATCCAAGATTGCAAAGGGGTGTAATCAGTACCACTCCACAGGAGAAACAATCAGTAAAGAACCAAGTCTAATAAATAGGAAGCTATTACCAAAAGAAATGTTTTGGTGATATAACACCCATTATTCTGGCCATTGAGATTTCTGTTATGGACTATCCTTCTGCCTCTGTTTCCTGACTGGATATGGCTCTAAAGCTGAGGGTGAATCTAGAGTAGGAAAGCCTGTAGGGCGCAGGTACTGGAATGACAGGTTTGCCACAAACCTTTCCACATAATTTCACACCATTACTTTGCTCCTATAAGTCATGATCTTGAGTATACTCAGAAGTCCACAGTGGCATGGACTTTGGGGAGACCCTCAAACCAGTGAAGAAAGATTATGCTCAACCTTGTTTTTGATGAAAGAGATGCTCCTTATCTCACCAAGAATGCAGACCAACCACCTTCTTTCATGAGTCAAGAGGAACAGTTTATTGATTGGTGGTCACATTTTAAGGTTTTGTTTGATAAGCTAATGTCAATTACAGCACATCTGTGGATCAAAATTAGTTTAGTTGTAACATTAAAACATACAATGTCATCAAAGGAGAAAAACAAAAGACAATGGTGCAGTTGTGCAATCATTAGTTGCAATGCAGGATGATGCTAATTTGTCCTTGAGTAGTTACTTTGTATGTATAAAGGCAGATGAGAACTGAGCTAGGCTACTGACATGTTAACACAGATCCCACAGCACATTCCTCTTCTCCTTCGTGGTGTTTGGTGAAATAAGCACATGTGATAGTTGATCCACCTGTGCAGCAATCACTGGAAACCTCTGAAAAGCTGAGAAGGCTTGTGGCTGCTGTCCCGCCCCTCTTCCCCCATGAGGCATATAAGCTGGAGGAGGGGCAGTAGATCTAGTTCCCTGCCGCCGTGCAGCGGCCCGAGGCTAGAGGCATTATCTGCAGGGAGGAAGGGCGGGGATGTGCTAATTTCACAGATCACTACTCGAAGAAACATGGTTACAGGTAAGCAACCTTCTCCTTCGTGGTGTCTGGTGAAATAAGAACATGTGATAGACTAGCAAGCCACAAAGCTTGGATGGTGGGCATCATGCCACTGCCGAGAAGAGAACCGCTCTGCCAAACGCGGCGTGCCTTCAATCCCTCTCGTTTTTTGAGGAGAGGGGTTGTTGGGTTTTTTGTTGTTGGTTTTGTTGTTTTTTTTTGCTACAGGCCTGGTGGCATGAGACTACGAGTAAAGAAAGACATCTAATAAATATTGTCATTTTTATCACTGTGAAATTACTGTACTTTGCTATTAAAGATCAAAAGAAGAGAGTCTGGGCACATCTCATCTACATGCAATACACTGGCCCTGATTTGGAGGAGATTACATTATCAAAGCAATTCTATATATTTTGTACTTAACATTGTTTTATTTGGGTTAATAGCTTTTTAGCAATTGATGATCTTTTTCATCATCATGAGACTTTGTCTCTTCTCTAATATAAATTAAATATATACAGGAATCGATTCTGTTCCTCCACTGTTTCGACCAGTGTAATCTACACTCTTGCCCAGAGTGTAGGTTACACATCAGGAGGATCAGATGCCGCAGCACTCTCATTTCTTTTTGAGCAAATATTAATTTCTCTTCATCTACAAAGCCAGCCTTTGCTGATCTATAAAGCACAAATTGATTTATAATCTATAAAATGCAGAGTGATTTTCTTTGAAATTATTTGCAGCACCAGTTCAACGTGAGATGATACTTGTTGCCTCTTTCCTTTCAGAAAGTAAGATTGGCATTCTTCACTCTCTTATTGCATTAAAAGACAATCTAAAATGAAACAAAGGCAATACCTTTTAATAAATAATCTGATTTGATAGTTTCATATTGACTTCATTGTTGGCATCTCCCTCATGTGTCAGCCTATTGCAACAAGGGAATTTTGAGTTCCAAGAGGAATGGTAGCAATGAGAAAGGGCTAAACTTGAGAAACATTGAGTCATTGTGATAGTTGATAGGCCCAGAAACAGATATATTTCAGAAAATGATATATGTAGACAAAGCTGTTTAAAATGTAGGCCTGCAATGCATTCAAGACAAACCTGCCAGCCACAGACAATATGTTTTTGTTTCAAAATGTAAAGACTTTTCATAGTGACAGTGAGACATAACAATAGGTAGATTGTGATGTCACTGGTTATGCCCTATGTGGCATTTTCATTTGAACCAGATTAACAGGAAATATATCTATAGGATGGATTGCTTTTCCCAATCCTGGTCCATTTTGTGTTGCTCATTACTGAAAGACTCCAGTCACCAAGGTAAAATGCAAGAGCTTTTTTTCAGGTTTGAGGGCAGGGTGAGGGAAAATATTTTTCAGAAAAGAAAAAAAGTTGCAAGGTCTTGGTTCATTCTTGAAAATATTCAAGGTTATTGGAGAAGACTGAAGTGTGCTCTAATGGTGTGTGTTGCTATTGTGTTTGAGAATATAGATGATTTTATATTTTCTGTTCATATCCTTTTTGTTCTTGGGTTGTTTGTTTCCATTGCTGAACATGGATTTGAAATTAGTACAATGCTCAAATCACATCATGCTAGCTGTCAAATCATTACCACAGATATATAGCATAACATAGTACAAAGGCAATCCTCCTGTAGCTTGGATATATACATAGTAAAGAGGCCTGTGCAGTTGCTTGGTATGTAAATGAATTTAACTTCAGATACAACATCTGAAGTAAAACAGACCCCTATCTTCTGCTACTTTTGCTGATTATATCACATATGTTTGATTAAGGATATTCCAAATTTATTGGATAAGCTCACATTACATGCATCAATTATGATCTTGAAAGATGGTGATAATGTGAAATGTAGGTTTTCTTTCCTCTTATCAAAAACTTCTAGTTTGGAGGAGTTGGAGTTGGAAGAGAGCGTAAGGCCCATCCAATCCAATCCCTTGCCATGAATGCCACACAATCAAAGCACTCCTGATAGATGATCATCCAGCCTATTTAAAACTCTCCAAAAAAGACGCTACCACACAGACTCCAATATCCTTCTTGAACTATGGTGCCCAGAATTGGACACAATATTCCTGGTGAGGTTTGACCAAAGCAGAACCAAGTGGGACAATTATTTCCTTGATCTAGACTTCCCTCTTACTGATGCAGAATCACATTGGCTTTTTCAGCTGCCACATCACACTTTTAATTCATGTTCAGCTTGTGGTCTACTAAAACTCCTAGATCCCTTTCACATGAACTGTTATCAAGCCAGATATGACCCATCCCATATCTGTGCGTTTCATTGTGATTGTCTAAGTGTAGTGCCTTACATTTCCCCCTGCTGAAATTCATTTTGCTACTTTTGGTCCAGCTCCTTAATCTATTATTTTAGATTCTGATTCTGTCTTCCGATGTATTAGCTGTTCCAATTTCATGTCATCTGCAAATTTGATAAGCATGCCCTCTAATCTGTTATCTAAGTCATTGATAAAGCTGTGAATAGCACTGGGCCCAGGACAGGACCCTATGCCACCCACTGGTCACTTCTTTCCAGGATGAACAGGAGCCATTGGTAAGAAGTCTCTGGGTTTGGCCAATCAACCAATTCCCAATCCACCTAACAGGAGCATTTTCTAGCTCATATTTTACTAGCTTCTTTGCGAGAAAATTATGGGGGGAATTGTCAAAGGCCTTGCTGAAATTGGCATATGCCACGTCCATAACATTCCCTTTGTCTATCAAGCTTGTAACTCTATCAAAAGAAGAGGTAAGGTTAATCTGGAATGAGTTGTTTTTGAGAAAACCATGTTGACTTTTTGTGAGTACGGTATTTATTTCTCAGTGCTTACTGTTTAATGATCTGCTCTAGAATATCTTCTGATATTAATGTCAGGCTGATTGGGTAGTAATTAAGTACTATTTTCCCACTTGTTAAGTTGGGGACAGTATCTGATCTTCTGGAACTTCTGTTTTCCAGGAATTCTCAAAGATGATTGCCAGCAGTTCTGAAATAGTTTCTATGAATTTTTTAATAACCTTGGATGTAATTCATATGGCCCTGGAGGCTTGAATTCATTTAGATTAGTCAGATATTCCTCTATTACCTCTTTACTTCCATGCTGCATTTCCTCTACTGCATCCTCTGCTCCATTCTCCCCAAGTTGAGCACTGTTAGCCTTTTGGGAGAAGACTGAGGTGAAAAAGGTGTTGGTAGTTCTGCTTTTTCTCTGACTTCTGTTAATTTTGCCACCATCTCTACACAGCAGGGATCTGAATCATATTGGCGAATGACAGTTGATCTAGTCAGTTAGAATGGTTAGGAAGAAAAAAAAAAGAAATGAAGTGTCAATCAGGTCTGGGAATTTAATAAACCAGAGGTGGATAGTGTGAAAAATGTGAGCTGTGTTCTACGTCTATTAAATTAATGTTTTTTCATGTTTAATGTAGAATTGTTTAATATTAAAACACATTTGCCCTCCAGCAACACTATATTTGGCGGTCTCTTAGTATCTGCTGAGGTTTTGTTCCAAGATACTTGGAGGATACTCAAGTTCCATTATATACAGTAACACAGAAAAACAGTGTTTGGGAATAAAATAAAATAAACCATGGATGGTGGAATATTACTTAGGCAACCCCTCGTTTTCTGAGTGTGGTGGCTTTCCAAGTTCTTGGTAGACATGTGTGAGTTTTTTTTTAATGTGTGGAGGTCGGTGCACAGCCAATCAACACAGTTTTCACAGAGTGAGGGTCCCAACCAGTGGCATGGTTAACACAATGATGGTGGTTTCTCAATCTGTTGCAGCCTTCTTTCGCTTCACAGCCATTGTAACATGTGCCATGCTATCTTCTGCCTGATCTGCCATTGAGGTCTTTGGATTGTGCTCAGTCTGGAACCTCCCTCCCCACCACCCAAACCGGGAGTGCATGACTCCAGTGGTTACGCCTGAAGGTTCACTGGAACACACAAGCCCCCTCATCACAGCAAGGTGACAATCCATTGAGGAAAAATATATGGATACGAAGGGCTGAATGTATTCAAAAGCTTGGATTCAGACAAGGATTATGTAGTCACAGCACTGAATAAAGAGGGAATGATCTCCAAGGGGGATATAGGTTGCACAATATATCACATAAGTACATTAAGAATAGCTGGGAGGCTCTCGCGGTTAGTGGCCGCAGCAGAAGGGCAGGAAGAGGCCTTTACATTAATGTGAGACAAAGGTAATCTCTCACTCATAGTAGTAATTATGAGATTTGTGGAAGTCATTATGTTTGGTGGCAGCAGAGGTTTAAGCTAAGCCTCACATCTTGTGAGAAAGTAATGGCTGAATGAAAAAGTTCAAATTATAAGTATGAGAATTTAGACTACAGATGAAGAAGTGTATGAGCCCCTAAATATTGAGATAGCAAGGTAGAATGAAGAATGTGTCTAAAATAAGAGATTAGCAGGATTCCAATGTTTTCCTTGTGTGTCTTTGGGGTGGCAAGTTCATTTTAACCTTTTAATTTTATCATTTTGATTATTGTTTTAATGTAGAGGGTAGAGAAGTTAGCTTTAATAGGTGCATATAGTTATACAAGTCATATATGTTAAAATTACCATCTTTAGAAATTATATAATAATAATAATAATACTTTATTTGTACCCCGCAACCATCTCCCCAAGGGACTCGGTGCGGCTTACATGAGGCTGAGCCTAAGCACAACAATACAAGCAATTAAAATAAAACATAGACGATAACCATATAACATTATCAATAAGACAACATACGATTAAAACTGTGGGAAGGCCAAATGTAAAAATTAAAATTGGAAATAGTGCTGAGGCATGGACGAAAAGGTGATAGTGGCATTTGTGGAAGACATACGAGCAGACCTAAAAATATAAAGTGCTTTGGAGGGACAAAGTTACAGTATATGGCTGAAAACAGTATATAGTACAGTTATGGGCGAAGGCCTCAAGGCGGCACTAGACAGAAAAGGATAGTCCATTTTACAGGGGGAGTTGAAGGAAGAAAATAATTTCCCGCGTTTTTGCTGGTTATTTCTCCTCCCCTCATCCTATATCATAAAGGAGAGTTGTTTCCATAATGGGGAAGGGGGATAACAAGACCACAGAGAGAAATGATTTACTCCTTCAACCCAACCTTCACCCCCATAAAATGGACTATCCTTCTCTTTCTAGTGCCCCCTTGTGGCCTCCGCCTGGATAATGGAACAATACCCAATAGATATATATTGTGTGTGTGCGCGCGCAAAATGTATTTGTGTGTGTGTCCCACAAAGGCTATTGCTAGGTGAAGTGGTGCTCTGTGATGTTACTGGATTGGCTATTGGTGGGCAAAGTAACTCTCTGGCCCCTTTCACACAACTGTATAAAATCTACATTGAAGTGGATTATATGGCAGTGTAGACACAGATAATCCAGTTCAAAGTAGATATTGTGAATTATCTGCCTTGATATTCTGGGTTATATGGCTGTGTGGAAGGGCCCTTTATCATGTCAAAGAGACAAAGGGAGGAAAACAGGCAGGGAAGAGTCACACAGAGAGCCATGTTGCCATGGACGCCTTGTGAGGTGAGCCTCCTCAGAGCTGGAGAAGGGAGAAAGTAGGCCAGCAGCTGTCCAAATGAAACCTGGGCAACCCAGAGTATGTAGGCCAATATGTAATTTTTTTAAAAAAAGAAACAACTTGCTACCCTACTCAGAGTAAATCATACTGCACTCTAGAGAACCAACATGGTTTTTGTCCAGGTTACCTCAAGGATCACTTGCTCCCACACAATCTGCCCCAGACACTTTGATCTTCTGGGGGGAGTCTGCTCCAACCAGCCAGAACCCGACTGGCAACCACCATCCAGAGGACTTTTTCATCTGTCGCCCCAGGGCTGTGGAACAACCTGCCGGTAGAGCTCTGATGGCTAAATCAGCTGTTGGAATTTAATACACAAGTGAAGACCTGTCTCTCCAGGAGGCCTACCCAGTCTTTAAATATAAACATGAATTTTAATGCACGTATTTGGTTTTAATCTCTGTTTTGTCTGTTTTAATATGTATTTCATAGAGATATGTTTTGGTATATAACTTTTATGGAAGTATGTTTTAGTGTGTGTATATGTAGTGTTTTGTTGTGTTTATTTATTTTGTTTTGTAACCTGCTTCGAGCCACATGAAGAGGCGGGTAAGAAATAAAATTATTTGATAAAAAACAAGATTAGTACACAGCAAACAAGATCAGTATGCCGGCTTTTATATTGGATCACATGTTATTGAGATTAGCTTTGATTTATTCTAATAATGTGTTTATATTTTACTGTTTTAACTGTGTAATTAGATTGCCATATGTTTATTGTGCATATAATGTGTTTTTATTTGTCTTCGTTGTTATTGGCCTTGGTCCAGCATGTAAGTCGCCCAGAGTCCCTTTGGGTAGATGGTGGTGGGATACAGAAATAAAGTTGTTGTTATTTGAAACACAACAAGATCAGTACACAGCAAACAAGGTCACTCTGCTGGCTGTTGTGTTGGAGTACACGTTGGACACTTCCTAAGTGTCTAGGACTGTGTGATGTATCGGCGAATAATGTGTGCAGATCCCAGTAGGGTGGCCTTTTGCAGCTGACTGATGGTAATTTTATCAGCACCAATTGTGTTTAAGTGCAGACCAAGATCTTTAGGCACTGTACCAAGTGTGCCGATCACCCCTGGGGCCACCTTGACTGGCTTGTGTCAGAGTGTTTGCAGTTCGATCTTTAAATCCTTGTATTGTGTCAGCTTTTCCAGTTGTTTATCTTCAATCCTGCTGTCACCTGGGATTGCAACATCGACAAATTATTATTATTATTTGATACACAAGAAGATTATTACACAGCAAGCAAGATCACAATGCTGGCTGTTTTATTGGATCACACTTCGGACACTTCCCAAGTGTCTAGGACTATGTGATGTGTTTTCAAATGATGCACACAGATCCAAGTAAGGTGGCCTTTTGCAGTTGACAGATCGTGATATTGTCCATGTTTATTGTTTCCAAATGTCGGCTGAGATCTTTTGGCACGGCACCCAGTGTGCCAATGACCACTGGGACCACCTGTACTGGTTTATGCCAGAGCCTTTGCAGTTCGATTTTGAGGTCTTGATTGCGACTGAGTTTTTCCTGTTGTTTTTCTTCAATGCGACTGTCACCGGGTATGGCGACACCAATAATCCAGACTTTTTTCTTTTCCACAATCGTGATGTCTGGTGTGTTGTGTTCCAAAACTTTGTCAGTCTGGATTCGAAAGTCCCACAGTATTTTTGCATGTTCATTTTCCACAACCTTTGTGGGTTAATGATCCCACCAATTCTTTGCTGCTGGCAGGTGGTACTTGTGACATAAGTTCCAGTGAATCATTTGGGCCACAGAGTTGTGTCTTTGTTTGTAGTCCATCTGTGCGATTTTCTTGCAACAGCTGAGGAGATGATCCATGGTTTCATCAGCTTCCTTGCACAGTCTGCATTTTGGGTCATCCGCTGATTTTTCGATCCTGGCCTTAATTGCATTGGTTCTGATGGCTTGCTCCTGGACTGCAAGAATCAGGCCTTCTGACTCCTTCTTCAGTGTTCCATTCATGAGCCATAGCCACGTCTTTTCCTTGACAACTTTTCCTTCAATCTTCTTAAGGAACTCTCCATGTAAGGCTTTGTTGTGCCAGCTGTCAGCTCTTGTTTGCAGTGATGTTTTCTTGTACTGACTCGTTGTCTGCTGTGCTTTGAGAAGTTTCCGATTATTGACTTCAATTAAAGCAGGTTCTTGGCTTTCCTTGACATATTCTGCCAGGGCATGTTTTTCTTTTTCAACTGCTTATTATTATTATTATTATACACCTTGTTGTTGTTCATTCGTTCAGTCGTCTCTGACTCTTCGTGACCTCATGGACCAGCCCACGCCAGAGCTCCCTGTCGGCCGTCACCACCCCCAGCTCCTTCAAGGTCAGTCGTCACTTCAAGGATGCCATCCATCCATCTTGCCCTTGGTCGGCCCCTCTTCCTTTTGCCTTCCACTTTCCCCAGCATAATTGTCTTCTCTAGACTTTGCTGTCTCCTCATGATGTGGCCAAAGTACTTCAACTTTGTCTCTAGTATCCTTCCCTCCAATGAGCAGTCGGGCTTTATTTCCTGGAGGATGGACTGGTTGGATCTTCTCGCAGTCCAAGGTACTCTCTATTATACACCTAGAGTTATTATTATTATTAGAGTTATTATTATATATATACACCTAGAGTTGAATAGAGGCACTTTTAGGAAGTTGGCAACTCACAGTACACAAGAACAGAGTTTGGAGAAGGAATGGGGAGCTTGAACAAGCTCTAGGTATTCTATGGAATCATATAAATTTGCTTTTGAACATCGATGATCCATACTCTATTTTTAACACAATCGTGAGGTCAGTTGTTGTTATTGTTATGCACTTTTTGACTACAGACTTCCATCAATGTTGGTTCCTGACTATTATTATTGTTTGTGACAACCCATTCATTTAGCTCAAAAGGTTTGTGTAAACACTGGGGGCTGGACTATACCTTTTGGTAGGGGATGGCTAGGCGAAGCGGCCCTCTGTGATGCCACTGGATTGGCTGTTGCTAGGTGAAGGAGCTCGGTGACGTCACTGAGGTGCAGGCAGGCAGGAAGGAAAGAGCCACGTTGCGATGGGAAGCAGCCTGGCTGCTGAGGAGCTACTCATGCTTTAGGCCTCTCGGTATCCTTCAGCGAGGGCCATGAGGGGGCGCAGGGCCCTTGGCCTTACAAAGATGGGCGTGGCCAAGCCCTGGCCTGGCAGAAAGGCGCCTCTCTCTCTCTCTGGACAGGCAGAAAAGAGTTGTCAGGGGGGTAGCAATAGTGACGTCTCCTTCCCCGTTGAACCTCATTGGCCGGCTGCGTCTGTTCCCCCGCAGCACGCGCTGAACTGGGGAGGGGGCGGGGCTTGTGGTGCCCCTCGCGCGCCGTGGAGAGAGGCGGCTTCTCTCCTCTGACGGAAGCGCTGGGCCGTTCAGGCCCCGCCCCTTCCGCTACGTGAGGGGACGAGAGCGCCAGGAGTCTGACTGACTGACTGACTGACAGACAGGCTGCGCGACTTGCCGCCGCCGGCCGCTCCCCCGGCTCCTTCTCTTGCGGGGGATGGCGAAGGGGGCGCGCCGGCTCGGGGAGCGCAGACCTCCGCCTCAAGCGCCCCTCAGCAACACGTAGCACGGCGGGGAGGCTGCCCTGCCCCGCCAAAGGTGAGGAGGGGGCGAGGCGGGGAGGGGGCGCTTCTGGGCTAGCAAGAGCCGAGCCAATCCCCTCTCTCTCCCGGCTGCTTCTCGCGGGAGTGTCAAGACTCAAGAGGCGCCTCTTTCGCCTCAGAAGTGATGGGAGCTTCCCTCGGAAGAGATGGTTTCTCTCTCTCTCTCCGTTGGGCACATTCAAGCATTTCTCCTTGGCGACACACTTTTTAGGCGTTCATCCTTTTGCTGCGGCAGGGATTGAGTTTTACTAGCAAGCCAGAGGTTGACCCAGGCATGGGCAAACTTGGGCCCTCCAGGTGTTTTGGACTTCAACTCCCACAATCCCTAGCAGCCTCAGACCCCTTCTTTTCCCCCCATCAGCCGCTTAAACCAATCCTTTATGAGAGGTAAATTGTAATAACAAAATGTATGTGAGACGTATCTCAGGGAAACCTTTCATATTTTCAATATAGACCATTTATTGTTTCACTCGCATAAGACTTAGAGGTTTCTTGTTACATTTGCATGACACACCGATATGCTGATGGTGTGTTTTCAACAGTGTTGTGCCAGCCTCAAGGAGAAGGCGGGCCAGAAATAAGAATAATAAACTCTGAGGATGCCTGCCACAGATGCAGGGAAAACATCAGGAGAGAATGCTTCTAGAACAGTGGTTCTCAACCTATGGGTCCCCACAGGCCCGTAGCCAGGATTTCGTTTCGGGGGGGGGGGCTGATTTTGTTTTGGGGGGGCTGAGTCTGAGTGAAAGAGGGCCTACCCTAGCAAACTTTTTGTATCATTACCCCAATACCCCCATGCATATGGGATATATTGAGTATGGTGATCAGATCATGATATATGGTGATCAGATCATGATATGAATAAACATAACAGTTTAAATAATGCACCAGTAAGGCCTTTTTGCGAACCACCATGAGAATTGGGGGGGGGGGCTGAAGCCCCTCTAGCCCCCCCCCCCCCCCCCGGCTACATGCCTGGGTCCCCAGATGTTTTGGCCTTCAACTCCCGGAAATCCTAACAGCTGGTAAACTGACTGGGATTTCTGAGAGTTGTAGGCCAAAACGCCTGGGGACCCACAGGTTTTAGAACACTGTTTTAGAACATGGCCATACAGCCCGAAAACTCAACAACAACCCAGAGTAATAAACTCTTTTTCTGTTGCTTCTAACACTGTACACCTCTTTGAATCCCACTCATGGGAGAAAAGCGAGATATAAATAAAATAAAATAAATAGTAATATTTTCCCTTTCCAGAATTTTGGAAATAGAGTTAACTTTTAGAGACTGGAGAGAGAAAGTATTCTCATTATTGTATTTATGTTTAACCAACTTTATCTCACCACTTTATTTCCCTGCATAAAAGCATCAGCACAGCCATTTAAAATATACAACTATACAAAAATTAAAACAGGATTAAATATAAATAGTATTTTTAAAAAATTCCTGGTTGAAAATCATTAAAACAAATTCAAAGTTTTTGAACTTGATCTTAAACATCTTCATCTTTAAAAACCTGTCTAAATGAAAAGGTTTTAGCCTGCCGCTGGAAGGACAGCAGGGAGGGGGCTATTTTGTCTTCCCTGGGAAGAAGGAGGTTCCAGAGTTGAGCAGCCACCGAGAAGCCCCACCAACTGAGCTTGAGATGGAGGGGGGACTGCCAAAAGGGCCTCTCCTGAAGATCTCTGGACCTGGACAGGTTCGTACAAGGGGATGCGGTCGGCCATAGCCTGGGCCGTCATGGGCTTGAAAGGTTATAACCAGCAGTTTGAATTGTGCCCAGAAACAGACTAGCAGCCAGTGTAGCTGCTGCAACAGGGGGGTTGTCCTCTCCCTTTAGCCAGCATCAGTGAGCAACATGACTGCAGCTCTTTGGACCAGCTGAAGTTTCCAAGCACTCTTCAGAGGCTGCCAAATGTATTATACAGAATAAATATAGTAATATTTTGTGATCTTGTTCCAGCTCTTTGTCTTTTACTTTATTATATATTGTTATATTATTGTTGTTGCTATGTACCAATAATAATAATAAAAATAATACAATATATAATAAAGTAAAGGGCAAAATGATAGAAAATATCACAAAATACAAGGGCATACACATTGAAATTGGACAACTGTATCAAAAGAGAACAATAGTGGTACCAATCGTGGTTGGTGCTCTTGGAGGCATGCCAAGAAACTTTGAAAAGCACTTTAAAAAATCTTAATTTGGACAGAACATCAGTCCACATGCTGCAGAAGGCAACACTTCTCGGAACTGCACACATTCTATGAAAATACTCCAATATCTTAGGCTCTTGGGAAGATCCCAGTATTCAGACACTTGTTATTTATGTATTTATTTACCATATTCATTCTCCGCACTTTTCAACTCTGAAGGGGACTCAAAACAGCTTTACACATAGGCAACTATTCAGTGCCATAAAAATAACATGCTATTAAAATAAACATTTAAGTTAAAACCACATTAAAATACTTGGACCTAATATACATGTGTGCTGCGTTATGTACATGTAATAATAATATAATTATAATTATAATAACAACTTGAATTAATAATAACTTGAATTTCTTAAGCAAATTAAGAAAGATGTTTTGAAAACACCACCTTTGATTGCTCTTTATAGTCTGCTGTGATTGTTTTACTGTTGTTATTTTTGTTACTGCAGCCAACACACAGTTTGAAAAGCTCTGGTAAAAAGAGTAGGTCGCTTCTCTGTGTTTGCGGAAGTTCCTGACTGGCTCTTTAAACTGCTACATTGAGTAAGCAGACTCTCGCAGTGCATTTGGTGTAGGTGTTGTTCTTGGTTTGTGGAAAGCAAGTATTTTCACAACAAATAACCCCCCTTCTATAAATTGCCGAGGTGGACATGTATGTATGTGTGGCTCTTGCCAGTAGGCGTTTCAGTTTTCAAAGCTATTGTACCAACTCTGAATATTAGTTTTTTGGGAACAAACGTAGGAAACAAGATCATACCATTGTGCTCTGCTTATAGATCCTATGGGGCATATAGCTGGCTATTAAATGCTAGACCTTTGGAGAGATCAGCTGGTATGGGATGTGCACAGGTGACATTTTTACGAGGGAAACATGCTGTTACAGTGCTTTCTATGTTAGATATGGACTCTATGGCCTTTCAGATTTTTATGAGTGATCACTCCCATTGCAATTGGCCCTGCCAGATAGGGCTGATAAATCCCCCAGTTATGGTCTAGAGTAGAACTTTCCAAATATTTAATGTTGCTGATCCACATTTTAGGCATGTACTGCTTCGTAATATAGTGAATCAGTTTTATTAGCAAACCAGAAATTAAACCAACCTCACATAAGAGACATGCATAAATTGTAATGATGAAATATATGGGGGGACACAATATAACTCATGAAAACCCCTCATTTATATTTTAAAATGAAAATGTATGACTTGTAAAATAACAATATTCAGCTCAGAAGTTTCTCGCTATGTTTGCGCAACACACCTACACACTAAGGTGTCGCGACACACAGTTTGGAAAGCTCTAGTCAAGATGAACTCACTGCAGTTTACTTGTAATTTGAGCTGCTTTTTCAAAGCTCACTTCAATTGCCATAGATGCCCAAATGCTTTACCTGTTGTATGCTGAACTTTGTAGCAGTCTCCACGTTACGGCTGTACTCTGTGCTGACAACTGAACTAGGGTGAGTTAGGGCCAAAAGGCATTTCTTACATACAGTAGTTAATTTCATAGTGCTTCTATAGTAGATACTAGAAGAACCGAAGTTTCAGAGTGTGGGGAGGATGTGTCCCTCTGTGTTAAATATCATCCCCTACTATCCCTACCATAACACACACACCCCCAATCTGGGACAGCAGCGAAGCTGATACTATTTTTATAATGTGTTAGTGACTGTTGTCTTGTGAAGTGCTGACACAGTTTAAATTTTTAAATCTTGCTATGTGTTCAGAGAGAAGTTAGATTTGAGAAACAGAATTATTGCCATTCAGATCAATCTTAGATTTGGACATGAAACTTCTGGAAATTTTGAAATTTTTGATTTTTGTGTTTGACGTCACTTCTGGTGTGTGGGGGGGGGGGGAGTGAAATGTTTGCAGATACTTTAAAAACAGAAGCCAGGCTCTATCAGATGCTTAATGGAGCCCAGGCTTTTGTTTTTCAGAGATCTGTGGAAGCATCAAGGTAGATCAAAGAACCAGGTTACAGGTGAGAACAAAGAGGCATTCTTGACTCTTCAGTGCTAAATGTTTTTGCATTTATACCACCTCTTCTCAATGACATAAATCCACAAGATTCATTTTCTCTTGTAGAGTTTCATAACGGTCTTTGGCAGTAGTTTGATAAAGACAGCTGTAATAATATCTTCTGTTGAGCAATATTGCACCTTAATAAAATTAGACCTCATGGTATGTTACTACATTAAGAACATCAGCTTTATTACGTCTATGTATATTTCCTGGAATGAATGCACTTGTTAGACTCGTGTTTATGCTGGATTTAGCTCATTGACTTTAATGCAAGTGTTTCATAAATATATGTGTTTTAGATATTTAAATAGTCTTCTTTTACTAAATGCAGTATTAACAAATGTACTCTGAGGTGCAGTCCATGCCATCTCCAGCCTGGAAAAAGAAAAGGAAGGTTGACAGTTAAAGCCAATAGTATTATAATTACCAAAAGAAAGGTTGTATTATCTCAGTCATATTTGCATAGAGACTTCAGTATTATAATAAAAAAATAAAACATGCTCAAGAATATCTGTGCTTGAGGAAAAAATCATTCCAGTATTTAAGGAGTAACAGTGAATATGACTAGTTGAACTTTGCAACAGTATATTATCATGTAGAGGTTGCAACCTATGTACACGATAAAGCCCTAATGAACTGGGTGGGACGTTCATCTAAGTAAATATGGATAGGGCTGGATGCTGAGGTCATAGTAACACAGAAAATTAGCTATCTGACCCTCATGTGGTCATTCTGTCCCTCTTAGTAAAT